TCACGCTTTTTCTCTTTGGCTTCTGGCTGCTTGGCTCTGACGTGTTTCAGTCACGTGCACCCGAGAGTAGGGTAAATCAAGCCTCAACCACCCAAGCTGGCTGGAAGGTTGAAAAGGTAGAGCCCAGGGACCCAGACACTACTGAGCAGGTTACAGTGAGGAAGGGCTTCGGGAGAGCAACCCCTGACAGTTGCTCATCAACTCTTGGGCTTACCCTTGAGCTCTGCATGTGTGGATCTGACCCTACACAGATGACACAGACTTTGAGTGCTGAAATACAAGATAGACTACCACCGGAGTCCCAGGCTGGCCACTAGGTGGCACTTGTGTGAGACAGATCCACATCTCAAAGACTTTCACAGCAACCACAATCCACAATCCAGTCTTGCGGGAACTAGGAATTTGTGGTCTGAACCCATTTGGAGTGATTATCTTCTAAAATAAAGTTAATAACATTCACTGTAAGATTTTAACAATAACCAGAATCTCAAAACATAGTATTTAAAATGTCTAGGATACAATTCAGCATACTGAAAGCATACTCAGCATACAGAAAGCGAACAGCTACTCTGAGATGAAACAGATACTGGAATTATTTGACAAAGATTTTCAAGCAGTTGTTAAAAATATTGTACAAGTAAAGAAGGGTACTCTTAAAAAATACAGAAAGTTTTGCAAATAGAAGATACGAAGAAGAACTAAGTGGAAATCTTAGAAATGAAAAAAGTCAACTACTAAAATAGAAAACCCACTGGATGGGCTCACAAACAGAAGATGATGGAGGAAGTAGTTAGTAAATTTATAAATAAATTAATAGAAATGACTGAATCTGAACAACAGACAAAGTTGAAAAACTTGAACAGAACCATAGAGATGTTAGGTAACAACAAAAGATCTGAGCGTCCTATCATCTGAGTCCCAGAAGCAAAGAAAAAAACGGCAGAACATAGAAACATGGAAAGAAATAGCTGAAAGTCTGGTTTACCACTGGAAGACAATCAGTTTAATCTAGTACAGCAACAGTTTAAAGCAAAAAACCCATTTGATCTTCATTTTAAAAATTCAATATCTATTTATTAGAAAACTCTCAGCAAACTTGGAATAGAAAGAAATTTTCTTCACCTGATAAAGACCATCTACTAAAAGCTATAGCCAACATTCTACTTCATGGTGAAATACTGCTTTTTCTCAGAGATTAAGAACATCACAAGGATCTTCTTTTTTAACACCGCTGTTTAACCTTTTGAATCGTCCTCGTCAGTGAAACAAGACAAGAAAACCAGAAAGGCCTAGAGACTGCAAAGGAAGAAATAAAACTGTCTTTACTCAGAGACAATATGATCACCTATGTAGAAAATCCCAAGGAGAACACACACACACACACACACACACACACACACACACAACCTTCCTAGAACAAACTGAGTTTAGCTTTAGCAAGATTGTAGGATACAAGATCACCACACAAAAATCAATTATATTTTTGTATATTACCAATGAACAAGTAGAAACTGAAATAAAAAATATGTACAATAGCTTACAACCCCACCTCCCGATATACATAAAACAAAACATGTACAGGATCTATATGCCAAAAGCCATAAAATGTTGATGAAAGAACTTAATGGAGGCCCAAGTACATGGAAATTATAGCATTCCTTCATGGACTGAAAGACACAACATAGGATTGAGTTGTAGATTTACTAAAATTGTAGTCAAAATCTCAGCAAAACAGTTTATAGATAGAGTAGATAGAGGTAAGTGGATCCTAAAGTTCACACAGAAAGGCAAAAAAAAAAATAGCTGAAACACTTTTGAAAAAGAATAAATTTAGAAAAATCACACTATCTGATTTTAAGACTCATTACAGAGCTACAGAAATCAATATGGCACAGTGTTGATAGAAGAACGGACATAATGATTAATGGAACAGAACCACTGTCCAGAAATATATTTCTTACAAATACCCTCAGTTGGCTTTTTGTGAAATCTGTAAAGGCAATTCAATTTCAATGAAAGAAGGAGGATATTTTCAATAAATGATGTTGAAACAATTGGTTATCCGTATGCATAAAACTGAATCTGGACCTAAATCTCACATATTATACAAAAATCAACTCAAATGGATTGTAGATCTAAATGTAAAACATGAAAGTATAAAACTTTTAAAAGCCCAACTATGAGAAAATCTTCATGATCTGGAGTTATGCAAAATTTCTCAGATATGTCACGCAATGCAAGATCCATACCAGAAAAACGTCAGTTGGACTGCATCAGAATTTAAAACTGTGCTCCGTAAAAGGCCCTGTTAAGAGACTGAAAAGTCAAGCATAGATTGAGAGAAGATAGTTGCAAATCACATATCTGAACAAAGGATTTATACACAGAATATGTAAAGAACTCTTAAAACTCAAGTAAACAACTCAATTTAGACATAGGCAAAAGGCTTAAACAGACATTTCATGAAAGAGAATAAAAAGATGGATGATAAATAGCATGAAAATTTTCAATGTCATTAGTTATTAGGAAAATGAAATTTAAAACCATGAAGAAATACCATTACACAGCTATCAAATGGTTAAAACGAAAAAACAAAAAAGGAAGAAATACCAAGTGTTGACAAGGATGTGGGGCAGCTGGAGCTCTCAGATATTGCTGGTGGGAATGCAAAATGGTGCAGCATTCTGGAAAACAGGTTGGCAGTTTCTTACAAGGATAATATGTATTTAGCCTAGAAAAATTACAACTAGGCCAGGCACGGTGGTTCACACCTACAATCCCAGCACTTTGGGAGGCTGAGACAGGCAGATCACGAGGTTAGGAGTTCAAGACCAGCCTGGCCAATATGGTGAAACCCCGGCTCTACTAAAAATACAAAAATTAGCTGGGCATGGTGGTCCACAGCTGTAATCCCAGCTACTCAGGAGGCTAAGGCAGGAGAATTGCTTGAACTGGGACCTGGGAGGCGGAGGTTGCAATGAGCTGAGATGGCGCCATTGCACTCCAGCCTGGGCTACAGAGCGAGACTGCGTGTCACAAAAAAAAAAAAAAAAAAAAGAAATAAAAATTAAAACCATATTCACAAAATCCTGTTCTTAAATGTTTCTAGAAGCTCTAGTCATAACTGCCAAAAATGGATAACAACTGAAATGCCCCTGGACAGATGAGTGGATAAATATATTGTGATGTACCTACAGAATGGAATACTACTCAGCAACAAAAAGGAACCAGCTACTGACACATGACTTGATGAGTCTCGAAATAATCCCACTGCATGAAAAGGAGCCAGTTTCAAAGATTAGGCTCTGTAGGACATTTATCTGACATTCTTGCAAAGAGACAAAACCAGTGATAGAAAAGAGAGCACAAGTTGCCAATGGTTGGGGTAGGAGAGGGTCTGATTATAAAAGATATCAGGACAGAGAATCTGGAGATGATGAAGTGCTTCTGTGTCCCGAAAGTGGTAGTAATAACACAAATCCATACATGTGTTAAAGTTCATAGAACTAGACACAAACAACTTAATTTTTCTGTATCTTAATGTGAAGAATATAAGTAAAAAAAATAAAGAAAAGAGATGACATCTCTTGCTTCGTATTTAAGACTGTCTAGACATTAATACTGATTTTAGTACTAATTACAATAATGGCCACCACAAGCGTGTTCTTACGAAAATACTTTTTTGAGCATCTGTTACATGCTGCTTCTTTACCACACATTTTATATCACAACTTCTAATATTCACAGTCACCTCATAAGATGGGTTAAGTTCAACGAAGAAAAAATCTGAGGGTAAGGGAAGTAAAATAATTTGTCCTATATCTCATAGTTGATAAGTGGCTGAATCTAAACTCGAACTCAGATTTCACTGCCGACCTTATTCCAAGCCTGTTTCTCCACTCTGCTGCCCACTTAACAAAAATAATGGAAACTGACAGGGAGACATTATATAATATAAATAGCAGGAAGGGAGAATCATATTGTGATTTCCATAGATCACAAAAACTCTAAGCATATTTTATTCTAAACTTGGAGTTGGTTTGAAATTCTAAGAGGTTGGGGAAAATTTAAAAACTATGTTTTTGCCATTGCCATTTTCTGATAATCCTCCAGTAGGTGGTTCTTAATTTTCAATATGATGGAATAGTTCTCTCCACTTCTGCAAATGTACAATAATTCTTATTTTCCCTAAGTGACTTAAAGAATCATTGTGACTTACAATTCTTGACCAAGTATTTACTAACTCCACAAATTGCAGTTTATACATTTGAAGTAAAGACTAAACACTACAAAGTTCTGTCCTCTCACACAGCTGACTGTCCTGAGAAGTTGTGACTGGTCCTTCCTACCAGTGGCATACCACTGCCACCATCCAAAAAAAAAAAAAAAAAAGTAAATCCATTTTAGTGACACAGAAACTAAGCTTTCATTTTACTTCACTATGGTTGTAGCTGAATAAATATCTGAAAACATCACACATACGGAGGGTGCACATTTCTTACACAGCAAATGATATCTATGTGAAAAGCTGGAGGATGAAGGCTGTCTTCTTGCTTGTGAATTACTCCCAGTGACTTTACTGGATAGTAGGTGCTTTTTCCACCAAAAACTCTGGCCTAGAGTACTTTTGTCTCAGCTAACACAGAGATATGAAACTAAGGCCTCCCATAAAAGTATTTTCTTGAATGTTTTGTATTTCTGCTCCATTGAATATATTTTCTTCAATATAATAATCATTGATAAATTTTGACTCAACATCAGTAAGATGTGACACAAGGCAAAGCCCAATTAGTGCTTCACGGCAACTTTACTGTCAAGAGTTGGGTGATCTATTTCATAAGCCAAATAAAAATAACAAAAATAATTTTATCACCAACACTTTCACTTTTGAGAGTCCAAATACTGTCCAAGTACCACTGTTATCAGGTATTGGAAATCTTCTTGTTTGGAAGCTGGTTATGCCCAGAATGGTGGTATGGGGGGACAGGAGGTGGGCTTACCTTCCAGCAGGTCTCTGGCCAGACCAGGTTCTGCCCCTGTGGACCGAACAAAGTCTGACAGGACTGCGTCCATATCAAGAGTCATAGGATCATGTAGAAGTGCTGCCCAACACTCAGCCGAGGTGGGGTTTGGAAGCACACTAGAAACCATCCATCTGCAGGAAAGAAGAGAAAAGGCATTTTACCACGTGATGGAAATGGAGCTGCAAGTGACAACTACATGCAGGGACCTGAGGGAGAGAACAGGAGCCATTTCCACCTGCTGTCCTATTTTTCTGAACTGGTTTGGTCCAACTGCCTGGCTCTTCATGCAAGACATTATATTATAGAATTGGAACTAAAATGTCATCCCTCTGTACACGCCATGTGAGAGAAGGCGCATTATGAGCCCAATGTTTGTGTTTCCTCCTAAAACTCGTATGTTGATATCTCATCTCCAAGGTGATGGAGACAGTGCCATCTATGAAGCAGGAAATGGGCCCTCACTAGACACCAAATCCGCTGGTTCCCCGATCTTAGACTTCCCAGCCTTTAGTACTGTGTGGAATACGTTTCTATTGTTCATAAGCCTCCCAAGCTATTGTATTTTGACATAGCACCCCAGATAGACTAAGGCAAGGGGTCATCACTATTTCCAGTGCTCCTGACCTTACATTTTATTAATTCCAATAACTGATGGGGAAAAAAAAGACTAGATTATTTTAAAATTTCAAACACCTAAATATACCTAGAAAAATTCAATTGGAGTTGCTAGATTTCTAATCCTCTTCCGAACTGTATAGACTTGTAATACTTTCACAATGTGATGAATGTTACCCACTCTATTCCAATTATGCCTTTACCAGTGTGCCATCCTACCCCTTCAGCCCTCACCCCTTACTTGGCTAGTAGAAAAGACTCCAGGTTAATCCACAGTTGACTGAAATACCACACTTGCTGAAGATGGCTACTAAACTATCTGCCATCTCTTTAAGAGCTGCCATCAATCCAACAACATTCTGAAGAATGTCAGATTTCCCAGGCAGTATGATCCCAGCCAGAGAAAGAGAATGGATGTGCAGCAGCTTGACCCAAGCAACTGTCACATTGCAAGTGAGAGAGACTTACACGAGTCAGAGGTGCTGGGGTCCCCAGTGGGTGCTCAGTCTTTGCTGATGGAGTACAAATGCATCCTTGTGTTTGTGTAGATAAAACGTCCGCAAGTTATGGACCATGGGCCACCTGTGGTATGCCACCCATTTTTGTAAATGAAGTTTTATGGGAATACAGCCATACCCACTCATTTGCATATTGCCTGTGGCTGCTTTTGCACCCAGCTGAGTTGAGGAGTTAAAACAGAGACCCTGAGGCCCACAAAACTGAAAAGATTTACTGCCTGGAACTTTACGGAAAAAGTTTGCAGACTCCATTACAGGCAATGGAGAATTTTATGCTAGTAAGCATGTAATTAATTTTACAGATTGTGGGGGTGAGTTTGAATCCCATACTATTGATGACTGTCCTCTGTTCTTTCTTTCACAGTAACCCACTGGGATGGGTGCTGCTTGGTGGGGTAGGTCCTGTGTCAGTGGCCCATGCTTTAGAGCCAGGCTATGACCCTGGCCCTGCCCTTGTCCAGCTGTGACATGGGCTTCATTTCTCTGAGCACTCCTGTTTTTCTGCAGGAATGCAGGAAATGAGCTCACCTAATGTGCAAGACCCTGAGGACTGAGGGTCTCAGGCAGGGAGGTCCATACCCTCAGGGACATTCATTGTGACCACCCCATCTTGCACACAGCTCCTACTGGGTATAATTTTTAGTTGATGCGGCTAGAAAATAAGAAAATTATTTGACCTGATGTATATGGTACCAATTAGGAAATTGATTTCTTCCTTCTCTCCATGCACCGGGGCTTCGGCTGGGAGAGTCTCTTCTTTTGTCACTGCCACCTGGGGGACAGATCAGAAAACAAGAGCATGTGATCTCCTTACCCTCAGACTGAGACCGAAGGCTTGGCTTTTTGTCACAGGAGGCTGGATCTTGGCCTTGGCCAATCGCCTGAGGCATGTACTCTGTCTTCCTGGGCCCTACAGGTCCCTGCTGGCCAGCTGACCAGCATCTCCCATGCCTGGGCCTGGCTGGGGGCTGTCTCAGCTTCCCTCGTTTTAGCAAGCACTTCTATTTCAGTGAGGATCACTTGCACAGCACAGAGCTGTATTTTTCTTTTTTTTTAATTTTTGAGACGGAGTCTTGCTCTGTCTGTCGCAGGGGCTGGAGCGCAGTGGTGAGATCTCGGCTCACTGCAAGTTCCGCCTCCCAGGTTCACGCCATTCTCCTGCCTCAGCCTCCCAAGTAGCTGGGACTACAGGTGCCTGTCACCACGCCCGGCTAGTTTTTAGTATCTTTAGTAGAGACAGGGTTTCACCATGTTAGCCAGGTTGGTCTCCATCCCCTGACCTTGTGATCCACCCGCCTCGGCCTCCCAAAGTGCTGGGATTACAGACATGAGCCACCGCGCCCAGCCTACAGAGCTGTTTTAAACTTTATTAGCACATACCACACCAGTACATTCAACCTCAGTTATGTGGTGAAATATACATAATATGAAATTTACCATTTTAACCATTCTTAAGTGTAAGGTTCAGTGGCATTAAGTACTTTTACACCGTTGAGCAACCATCACCTCCATCCAACTCTAGAACTTTCTCATCTTCCCAAACTGAAACTCTGTACACATGAAATACTAACTCTGCATTCGTCTCTTCCCACAGGCCCCGGCCACCACCATTCTACTTTCTGTCTCTGTGAATCTGACTACTCTGGGTACCTTACGTGAATGGGATCATATGGGATTTGTCCTTTGTGGTTCGTTTATTCTTCTTAGCACACTGTCCTCAACGTTGCTGCATGCTGTCAGCATGTGCCAGAATCTTCTTCCTTTTTAAGGTAGACTAATATTCCACTGTATGTATAGATCACATTTTACATATCAGTTGATTCATCTATGGACACTTGGGTTGCCCCACCTTTCGGCGGCAGTGAATGGTGTAATCTCAGCCCATTCATACTTATGCCAGGTTGCTGTACTGTGAACTTCATGAGCTTTCACCAGCATGGCAGTTAAAATTATGCCCATATCTCCTCCTCTGTATCATGTCCTTAATGCAAACATAGATTAAAGTGTAGACTTAAAATGAATGTTTTGTGTGGTAAAAAGCTACCGTGTTTATCTTGCTTCCAGATTTATTTCTTCTTCTTCTTCTTCTTTTCTTTTTGAGATGGAGTCTCACTCTGTTGCCCAGGCTGGAGTGCAGTGGCACGATCTCGGCTCACTGCAAGCTCTGCCTCCCAGGTTCATGCCATTCTCCAGTCTCAGCCTCCCGAGTAGCTGGGACTACAGGCATGCACCACCACACCCGGCTAATTTTTTTTTTTTTTTTGTATCTTTAGTAGAGACAGGGTTTCACCATGTTAGCCAGAATGGTCTTGATCTCCTGACCTCGTGATCTGCCCACCTTGGCCTCCCAGAGTGCTGGGATTACAGGTGGGAGCCACCGCACCTGGCCTTCCAGATGTATTTGTTAAATCTCACACTGCCACCATCACCACATCCTCACATTCATGTCCCTTGATGATATGGGAGGGGCTGGGCTGGTGGGGACACTGGCCCCCAGTTACCTGGGCCATCCTCCCAAGCATGCACGGTGCCTCTCAACCTACCCTGTGTGGTCTAAAGCACTCACTCAGCCGCTTCGAACAGCCTGAGGCTCTGGGTGGCCGTGCCCTGGCCGTGCGTTCCTGCTCTCCTCCATGCACCCTAGCCCTGAGACAGAACGTCTCTGAAGGTCTCATCAGCCGCCCTGGAAAAAGTGATGTATCCCGTCAATGCCTGGTGACTCTGCCTTAGGAGGGGCAGTGCCATGTGGGGAAGAGGGTTGGCCCTGGAATCAGTCCCTGGGGCCAAAATGGTTCACATACTTTGTGTGACCTTAGGCATGTTATATCACCTCTCCGTGCCTCAGTTTCCTCATCAATACAATTAGAATAATAATAGTATCTCACAGTTATTATGAAATTTTAAGGAATTCATGCACAAAATGTACTGGCCCATAGTACATGCTCAACAAACATTAATCATGAGCCGCTGAATGAACTCTCAACAGGGACCCTGAGACCACCCTTGCCTTCCCAAGTCTCCACTGAGCAAGAAAACTGCTGCCACCAGCTTGCTGAAGGCAGGAATAAGGGGCCTACCTCTAGTGCCTTGGCTTAGAATCACAGAGGGTTAAACTGGTGGGGGCTCCTGCCTTCAATTCCGTCTTCCTTCCCGTATCCGAGGTTGCAGTGTTCATTTCTCACTTAAGCAACCTTCATGGAGCTGCTAATCTGTTCCGGTCATGACTGCAGGGACTGTGTGGGAACTACGAGCCCCCTGAGCCTCCCCAGTAAGCAGAGAGATACAGACACACACACACGGGTCTCAAAGACCAACTGCTGGATTTGGAAGACACTTAGTGGAGGAACTGGTCCAACCAGAGAGAGCAAAATTGCAAGACAGAGGTGTAGCAGGATAAAGACCCAAACTGCCTCAGGATACACTTTTCATTAACTTCTGTTTTGCCCAGGTATGGTGGCTTACATTTGTAATCCCAGCACTTTGGGAGGCCGAGGCTGGTGGATCACTTTAGGTCTGGAGTTTGAGGGCAGTCTGGCCAACATGGTGAAACCCTGTCTCTACAAATTAAAAAAAAAAAAAAAAAAAAAAAAAGCCAGGTATGGTGGCAGGTGCCTATAATCTCAGCTACTTGGGAGGCTGAGGTAGGAGAATTGCTTGAACCCGAGAGGCAGAGGTTACAGTGAGCTGAGATCGCGCCATTGCACTCCAGCCTGGGCAACAAGAGTGAAATTCCATCTCCAATAAACAAATAAATAAACAAACAAACAAATTTCTGTTTCAGTGAAGCTCAAATAAAACATTGCTATATTATATTTGTCTGCAGATGTCATAACTGGACACTGAAAGGCAATAAAATGGGTAGATGGAGAATGAACACTGGGAGATGGTGGCAGAGGCTTGTGGTCTGAACCCTGGGGACAGGTACAGGAAGACTATGGGTGAATGAATGCCTGGAGGTTACTCTTCACTCCTAGGGCAGCGAACAGGGTAGTGAATGCCTTTAAAATCTCTCTCAACAGAGGACCAGCTGCCTGAGAGCTGGGATCTACTTCATCCTCCTTTCTATCCTCCTGGTCACAGTGCCTGGCACACACCAGGGCCAAAACTAAGGTGAGGCGAGGCGGCACCTGCCACTGCTGTAGAATCTAAGGGGATGCAAAAACACTCAGGAATCAACATAAACAACATTTTAGTGCTATATTTGCAAAAAAAAAAATTAGTGCAAAAATATCCTTGATGAACAAAATATCAGCCTTTTAAATGAAGGCAAGGTCAGCATGACTATTCTTCCTTTGCCCCTGGCTCCACAGGGTTGCCGGGCCCGGGCATGAGCTCAGAGCTGCTGCTTGGGAGGCAGGTGGTTCGGAGGCAGCCAAGTGAACACCCATCACAGCCAGAGAGACTGACTTCAGAGAGGGCCAGTGAGGGCCACGGGCAGGGGCACACAAGTGAGTGGGGAGCGGGAGCTTGCTTTCATCAGGTCTGTTTGATGATACAGCACACTGAACACAGGGATAAGGGAACAGAGGGGTGGATGAACAGATCTGGGGTCGAGTGCAGGCTTGGGAGCTGATGGCCTGGCTGGGTGCAAAGCCCCTGCAACCCTGGAAAGGCCACTTCACTTCTTGAAGCCTTGGTTGTCACATCTGAGCAATGAGGGTGAGAACAACTCTGCCTCTTTAGAATTGCAGTAAGGATACAGTGAGATGAGATGACACTGAAAGAACCGCACTATTACTATTATTACCATTGACATAGATTAAAACAATAGGCAAATGTACTGTTCCGGTACTGAGAATCCGCCCTTGACTACCCGTACATTTATACATCCCTGTTAAGCGGGTGAATGGTTAAATATGAAAAAAGGTCAGGCATGCGTTCATCCTGTCTGGCCTGGCGAGGAAGCCCACCCTGGTGAGGAGATCAGATGCCTGGGCTTCCCTGGTGAAACGAATTGGCCGTCTCAACTCAGATGTCAACACTCTACGAGCCTGCATGTGTGGCTCGTCCTTTGCCAGATGCCATTGTGACCTTGGGCAAGTCTGGTGCACTAGGGGAAAAAGGCTTCAGTGGATGCCACGTTAGGGAAACACATCTTCCAGAGCATTTGCATGGTTCAGATGAAAGGTAAGAAAGCCCGGTGTCTTTCAGTGCGGGGGCACGAGTTCTGGGAAGTTTGGCTCTGCCAAACATTCCAATGCACAGAGCACATCATCCTTTCCAAAGCTTGGCCACATATATTACTTATATAACCTCCACAATGCAAGCTAGAGATAAAGATGAGTCTAAGAGCAATTTGGACTGTGTGAAGCAATTTCTCCAGGAAATTCAATGTAAAAAGTCCTGGGTGAGGAGAGGGGAGGTGCTTCTTACTGAGGAATAAGAAGAGAGGTTTGGCCAGACAGCGACAGATCGGGCTGTGTGAAAATCAAACAGAAGAGGCTATGGGAAAGTCTGTGGGGCACACTGAAGTTCTTCACATTGTTGCGGGATCATTTCACTCTTTAGTTTTCCCCTTGGTGAAGCTGATACTCTCAAACGCATTGTCTGGTGGGCGCCGAGGAAGCCTCCAGCAGCAGCAGCGGGCAGTGCTGGGGCCCACCACCTGCACCTGGGGCTCGAAGAAGGCACACGTGTGGGCACTGAGCCCATTTCACTTGTCCAGCAGGTGCCCTGGGCTGGACACCCAATGGGCTCAATGGGAGGGAGACATGCCTTCTGTTCAGGGGCCATGACTGGGCCTTGTGCCGGCTCTCAGAGCATCTGGTGCCT